TTCTATCCGTATTAGTCGCAGGTCAGCGACTGGCTACTCGTTTCTCGGCTTGTTGCATCAAAACAGAGTGGGGTGAATTTTTTGTTCAAAAAAATTAGCATTTAATATGCGAAAATTTATGCTGCACATTAGGCTTGAACTCCTGTAAAGTACAAAGTACACTACTAAAGTAGAGTACACTACTACTATTGCGTCACTCCTCCTCCTCTCCAATAAAGCTTTATTTTTAGTAATTTTTCAGCTCTTTTCTTGTTTTTTTTTCTACATAAATTGTAACCCACGTTACTTTTGTACTTCAAGTACTGTTTTATGGATTTTGAGAGTGCGCCGTTTTACTGATTACTGGGTGAATAAAGATGAGCGAACACCGTAGGATACTTTTGTCTATCTTTGTTGAAAGGCTTAGCGTAGACTGAACTCTCTGCTCAAAAGCGAGTAAGCATCAGCATTCCAGTTTATTGGCTATGTTCAAAAAGGCGTATTAAGGACATGTCTGTAGCCATAGTCTTCCAATTTTAAGGTTAAATAATACTTAACTACTGAACCCTATTATTTTCATTTTCATATGTCATGAGTATTTCCTTAAGAATTATAACAATATTGTGATGTTTTTCTATTCCGTCAACGTTTCGGTTCTTTCTATCATTAACGATTATCTTCTGAGAATCGGTATTATTTTAGGTGCATTCCGTTATGTGTCAGAGACAAAAAGAACCAGTCACTGTTTCCGAAGTGCGAGACGAATCCGTGCAGATCGTTGAACAGGATAACAGCATGACCGGTCTTCTTCCAAAGAAAGGTTAAGAGAGCCAGCAAGCTCTGTAATATCAGTGTAGTGAATTAAGTTTTAGTTGTTCATTTAATAAAATGCCAGCTAAAGCAAAGGCCTCCTTAGTAGTTATTTGGATCATTACAATTGTACTAAGCTAGAATGAACTACTAAAAATGCGAATGCTCAAGTACGTGTGGTATTAACAAGAAGCTTAACATCCAACACAGGTTGAAGTTGCGAATTAAACATAAGCTCAAAACAGATAGGCATCATCCAAAGAAGCTCATCCAAAGTCGTTTCAGCTCGTTCAACCATTTAAAATAAATACCTAGGAGTTCGTAGACAATTTGAAAATATCAACGACAATACCTAAGAACAAAATGTAAAAAAACGGGTAACGTTGTATTGTAAAAAGTGGCATGAAAGAAGAGCTAAACAAGAAAAAGATTCCTTTGTTTAAAAATTGTTAAAAGAAAGAGATCGAAGATGGAAAAAAATTGCTCGATGATGGTGAGCAAGATGATTACGATTAGTCAGTCGAGTTATCTGCTTGAGAAAC